GTGTATTTGGAGAGAAGCAAACCTTTGTTATATTTGTGCTAGGACACAGTGATATAATTTGAAGCCATGTAATGTACTTTTCCTTTCTCATCTCCACTTTGTGTTCCATTTATACTTTTGCCTCAGCTAATATACAATGAAGGATTCTTTATTAAGCCTGCTTTAAACAGGAAAATCAGATTTTTACTTGAAATATATTATCTATTCTCATCCTCAAGAACAAGCCATTAGTGGCCCAGTGTTTCTCCATGATATCTAATACAAATTCCAGACAAATATGAATGTGAACAGTCTATTGGCATCTGCTCCTTGGTGATGCCCCAGAGTTATCAACAGACTGTGTAACGGCTTTCTGTTACCATCGGGTCTGCCTCTTGTCCTAAGTTCTCTAAAAATGCTAAGTTCAGATACTTAATTTCGGGAAAAAGATACCAAAATAAATGTAAAACTTAGCAATAAAATCCAGAAGAATGAGGAGCATCATCTCAGAATGCACATTCACTCAGATGCCAGTTTCACGCTGACATCTTTCATCTGTGTGGCACTGTCTCAATGGCTGATAAATGATGAGCTAGGCCACATTTCTCTGCAATCTGAGACTTAGTCAGTGACTTATCAAGCAAACTCATCTCTGGCTTTAACTGCAGGCACCTACCGCCTGAAAGGTGTTCTGACTGAGTTTAATTGGTCAGCTTGTTTTGTCAACATAGCAAAAAGTAGAATCTTCCTATTTGAAAACTTAGGTAATCGAATCTAATGCCACTTGAGTAGCATTAATCTGTTTGCTGGCAGTGATTAGTCATTTGTGACTCAGAAAAGAAAAATTTGATAATATTTTTATGAAATGAAATTAGTTAGGGAAAGTGAGTTATGACTCATTTTAAAACTGTGACAGATGAGAAATAGAATGATCTAGCCAGACATTAAGGGAAAAAGAGGGTTTAGCCATTTCTTTCTGGTAGCAGGTGCCACAGGGCAGAGAGGGAAAAAAAGGCAAATGAATTTAATTGCCGTTGCCCTCTAGTGTATCCAAACCCATTTGCTTTGGGATGGATATGCTCTGTCTTCCTTTACCTCAAGTAATCTCATCGACAAAAGTTAGTTTTGCCAATTACAATTTGCTTCCAAAGTAATGACCTTTCAAATTTATATTCTTGCAAGTTGGTTAATAACAGGGAATTTAACGGCAAAGTGCCAACTTCACAAAAGTTAAAATACAAGGTCTGTAAATTTTATTTATTCCTTTAAGATTATAAAATGAAAAGCTTTAGAGCCAAATTTACACATTTACAGTTCTTGGACCTGTATTGTTTAACAATCTATAAATGAGTTTAAATTTTTGAAACCATATTTAAATTACCAAAGGGATGCCAGATGGCACAGTAGATTAAGTGTCCGACTCTTGGTCTGGGCTCAGGTCGTGATCTCAGTTTGTGAGTTCGAGTCCCATATCAAGCTCTGTGCTGATAGTGCAGGGCCTGCCTGGGATTCTGTCTCTCCTCTCTGCCACTCCTCCACTTGTTCACGCATGCTCTCTGTCTCTCTCAAAATAAATAAACTTAAATTACTGAAAAAACCTAAAAGTAAATATCAAGGATTTCAAATTCTGATTCAGGTTTCATAAACAAGGTGTGTATGTTTTGTATATTCAATTTTATATATACAATTACACACATTTATTTGCATAGGTTTACTTAGATGAATATAGTTATATATTTATATTTATTTATAGTGAAATATGCACCAACTCTGTTGGACATTTTGGAAACCAAAGAAATTCTTCTTGATGAACGAAGTCTGAGATGGGCTTGATTTTTGTTTGCTTGTTTTTCTTTTCCTTTTGAGCATAAAGCAAAATAATGTTCTTTGGAAATGTTTTTTAAATTTTTTTTCCTTAATGTTTATTCATTTTTGAGAGACAGAAACAGATTGCAAGTGAGGGTGGGGCAGAGAGAGAGGGAGACACAGAATCAGAAGCAGGCTCCAGGCTCTGAGCTGTCAGCACATAGTGAGACGCAGGGCTTGAACCCAGGAATCTTGAGAACATGACTGAGCCGAAGTTGGATGTTTAACTGATTGAGTCACCAGGCGCCCCTGGAAATGTTTTTTAAATTGGCTGCACGTATGTGGCCAGACAACTTTTTATCAAGCTAAATAAACATGATTAGTTCTGGCAGTTATTCACATGGCACAGAGAAACATCATGAATTCATTTGATCATGATAAATTTATAATTGCTTTCCTAGAGTAAGAGCATACATTTATTACAACACTGTATAAAATAAATAAATAAATATAGATTTATATATTTGGATTGGCAAATACAGAGCTTCTCTTGAAGTTTCTATTTTCTTAATATGTGTTTCTAAATGTTTCTTAAAATTTTTAAAGTTTTAGTGTTAATAATTCCCAAGGCATGAAATCATATCTTAATCCTTTATCTCCATGCTGGTTATGTGTATGACTTCATATTCTTTGATAATCAACCATGGTTTATATGTTTGCATAGATCCCATATAGATTATGCTTTTGCATATTTTGGTCATAAAATAATCAGAACTAAAACTGAACTTTGGTTTTAAAACCAAACTTGCCAATTAAAGTTAAAAGGGCATGGTATTTCTGCCTCTTAATTTGGGTCTGGGGCGGGGGTGATTGGAGAAGAGAATTCCCGCATTGTAGGGTTGGTCAGCTTGGGCCAACAAGTAGCTTTCTAGTATGAATGCATTGATTTTATCTTCTGGGAATACATGGAATAATACAAAAAATTAAGAAATTTTAATGCAAAGGGGAAGCTGAAAGGAACTTAAGTTATTTAAGAGATGGTACCATTGAGGTACCATATAAGAAATGATGAAGGCACATGCCACAAAATTCCATTTTGGTGTATTTTTATAATAGATCAGAATCCTGACCTGGGATTGTGGGCTATGTGGCCTTGGGAAAGCACATAATTGCCCTGTGTACCTATTCCCTAGGTTAAAAAATAGAGTTCCTCTTCCCCCAGCTCTCAAATGTGTAACATTTCCCCTACATGTAAAACAGAGTCAGGAAGAGCAACTTATCAGAAATTGTAACATTTTCGCAGTAAGGAACCCACGATAATGACACAAAGCAGGCCCTGGCCCAGAGCATCATTGTGTCCGACTTTAAAAACCTGAAATGTTCGGATGAACAGCTCACTTTTCCATGAATTTTCTGAAAAGGAAATGAGACTTCTGAATGCAAAGTTGCCTTTACTTTGAGGAAATACAATGAAATAATTACAAGCCTCAGGAAGTGAAAAGGTTAGCCGAAGCTAAAAGCTGTATAAATTCTCGAGTTATTTCTGAAAAAGAAACATGTTGCTATATTTAAATTGATGAGAACGATGGCTACATATTTAATAAAAGCAAAGCACAGTTGAGGATCCTGAACCCTGGTGGGTAACAGACACGGAGGCGTTCAGGCAAATGTTCTTTTTAGCGTCTTAGCTATAAAATGGACCAATATTTACAATGAAAGGAGAAGATAAAAGTAATCTAAATTTGCCAGGAAGCAAACTCCAACTTCATGCTTGTGAATATTGTTGTTTTTTTTTTTTCTTTTTCACATCAAAAGCTTGAAGATGGCGTAAAATCACTGTCAGTGTTTGCAGTGTTAGTGGGAGGGAGGCCTGTGACTCTCCGAGGTCACCTTTTCTTCCCTTATTTAGGTTAACACGCTTATCAGGGAAGGGGGTTGGTTAACGGCTCACCTGAGGCACTGCTGGGCCTCGGCACAGACAAGGAAAGGAATGGGAGAGAAGAGATGGCATGGAGCTGCCCAGCGGAGCCTGTTCTAAGAAAGGCTACATGGCCATGGCCGACAGGTGGAGTAGGGAATGTCCTGCGTAACCAAGTTCATCAGCCACTCACTACTAACCATTACATGCTTATCTACTTACTAGACTTAACTATGAGGCTGTTTGACAGCAGGAAGAATTGTTACTCTTTTTTCCCATCTCCGTGGGTGGCACCCAATAGATGCTTGGTGCATGTTTGTAAAAGGGATGAATGAAAGAGCCCATCTCCTTTGGGACTCCTTTCACCCACCAGTTTTATGGGTTAGGAGAATTGATTCGGTTAGGAAGTTCCTTATTTAAAAATTCACTGACGAGGGGCACCTGGCTGGCTCTGTCAGAAGGGCATGCAAATCTTAATCTCGAGGTCATGGGTTTGAGCCCCACATTGGGTGTAGAGATTCCTTAAATAAATAAAAACTTAAAAAATTAAATAAAAATTCAGTGACCTCCCCCCCCCATTCATACTTTGGGGTGAGTCACTGTGATCTAATAATATCCAAGAGTGCTTGGATGCCATCACTGCCTGGGTGGGACCTCAGATTGGCAGGGAAGGCTGTGGAGGGAAGTCTTCCTAGGGGCTGGGGCTGTGGACTGATGAAAGTAGCATTAGGGAGCAGACAGACCAAGGAAAGTGCATGGCAGTGGGAGTCCAGGACGAATTGACACTAGAACAGAGTGGTGAGAGAGTGCTTTCTGAGCCAGGCTACAGGGATTAGACAGCACCAGCCACCAGAAGTTTTTGTTAAGGTTTCGCGTTTGTGAACATGCAGCAGATTGATGAAGCTGCCGTATGGAGGCTGAGCCTGGAAACTGCACATCCCAGCTTCTCCGAAGGTACTAACCCGATCTACATGGTCCAGGTTAGTTGCGCCTTATGTGTTAAAACCCACTTCCTGTTTCTTCTTAGTGGGAGGGACAAAAGATGAAGAAATCAATAGAAGAGAAAGGCTACCATGTCTACGACCTTTCCTTTCCCTTTGTCCTCTTCATTGGGCTAGCCTGGTGGAGATTTCATGGAATGCCTCACAACATAGAATACGTTTATGTAGAATATGTAGAATACGTTTCCCTGCTCTCTTCCCCACCACCTTACCATACCAAACCTCTTAATTAGCCAATCAATCAATACCGTCTTTCCAAGCTTGGAAGCTTGGAACACAGGCTTCACACTCATCACCTACCCGCCTTCTTCTGAATATTTATGCCCAAAGGCCAGGATGTCAGACGCCCGTCCACTCCCATCACAGACAACAACTGGCACAGGAGGCGTGTCTCGAAGGTACTCCAAGACGATGGAGATCACATTGGGTCCTCCTTCCACAATGAGCGCCACCACCGGAACACCTTGACCGATTCCTGCATTAAAAAAGGAAAAGAAAAGGAAAAAAAAAAAAGAGGAAAGAACACAAAGCCAGCAAACCAAAGAAACAAAAAGAGAAACAAAAAGCACAAACTAAAATTACTGAGCACGGGGGAAATAAGAACATATGAAGGGATAAAATATGGTGCAAAAATGTTACGGAGACTCCTGTGGCACCAAGGAAGTCTGTTTGGCTTTGCCCTTTCCCCAGAGCTCCTGGGGAGCTGGGGCCAGTGAAGGCACCAGTTGTCATATTTTTTTGGAGGGGGGGTGCATAGGGCAAGGAGGGAGAGAAAGGAATCGGTTAGTAGATGAAACACTGAGCCAGCAACCAAAAGATTGGAAGTGAAATGTGATCTTAAGCAAGTCTCATGTGTACCCAGTGCTTTAGCTTCTTACATGAAAAATGGGAATTTACAGCAGTCCAGATCCCTGAAGTCATCAAAACACCAAAAAAAAAAAAAAAAAAAAAAAATGCCTGAATGGTTCTCTTTATTGAAGACTATCAAAATCAAGCTAGAGGCATATTTTCACTTCTTGAGTTAACTACTGGCTACATTAGGGGTCTATCTATATCTGACTATAAACGATCAGCTTGATTATTGATTCTTAATAGAGTCACAGTCACAATAAAGTACCCAGGAGATGTGTCATCTGCCATCTGCTTACTGTGCTGTGTCCTTAACCACTGAGCAAGGTGCCAGGCTCATGATGGGTGATCTGGAAACATCTGTTGAATCCAATTGAATTCAGAAGGGTCACAGACCTTTTCCAAAGTATTTATGCTATTATCAGTGAGCTATAAGATGTAAAAGGTGCCCTAACATCAGCACTCACATACGGTTGAACCTGACATTTTAAAGGGAGGGAATAAAAATGAATGTTCATGAGAGACATCATGAAAAAGACTTGAAGTTCATTTTCAAGAGTTCTCTTAAGTGCCATCATTGTTCATTGAATAACTTCTGCTCATTTTGGTATCACACTGTATTTTCTCACTTTACCTTCCCAGAATAGTTAAGGAATTGAGCAGTACCATAAAAATGAGATGGTTTTGTACAGAGCAGTTATCTTAAAAAAGAAATAATCAAGATTCTGTGCCGCTTCTGTAAATACGAACTAAAAAAAGGCCTTCAATCATCTCCATTCCCCCCTTCTCTTGCCTGCTGTTTTTTTTTTTTTTTTTTTTTTTCTTTTATCAGGAAACTGCTGCCCTGTGAGAAATAATCGTTTGAGGTTTGGTTCCTTGCTCCATTAATAAGAGATTGTATTTGACTTGTGTGACCTATTATACTTCTAAAGTATATCAGTGTCCTGGGGCCTTCTCTTTTCTAAGTCAGTGTTTTTCATGGTTTGATTTTCATTTTAAAGGAAATATCCAAAATGTCAGTTACACAAAAATGGGTGCTGTTTTCCTATCAACATTTTAAAAATTTAAGAAAATGACGATCATTGGTCCCCAAATTACTTTTTGTGGTCCAGAGGGTATGGCGGCGGGGGATAACTCGTGGTCCCATCTGATTCTTCTGTGGATGGAGAACTTCTGAGAATTACTCCTTCAAATCCAAGGAGAGGGAAGGGAAAGATTGTGCTTTTGACTAAAAGGCCCTTAATAATTCAGACAAAAGGGCACTTTAAAACTGTAAAACTATTTACATGTCTTTAGAAGAGATATTTTCCTTACAGCTGATTATGAGGATTAAGTAAATTCCTAATGAAAGAAACTCTGAAGATTAAGGGCTAACTTGAAATGTTAATACAGCACACTTCTTTTGGAGGAGAGGTTGCTGACATAAGAAATACCCACCCCTATGTGGGTTTGTATCTTGTTTGTTTGTTTTTTAGAGTATGGAGGGGAGGGGCAGAGAGAGAGGGAGAAAGAGAACCCCAAGGAGGCTCGGTGCTGTCAGTGTGAAGCCCAACATGGGGCTGGAACTCACAAATCGTGAGATCATGACCCGAGCCGAAATCAAGAGTCAGATGCTTAACAGGCTGAGCCACCCAGGCACCCTGGGTTTTTATTTTAATACGGCTTGGAAAAGAGTCTCTTTTCCAATGTTTAAAACTATTTTATGAGGTATTTGCCTAAGTACTATGCTATTTAATTTTTCCCTTTGCCTTGGTTTAGCACATGCTTCCTACTGCTTCATGTCAATGAACAAAAATGTGCTGTACCTGCTGTTTTATACCTAATGATATGTTTAGACTCATTCTAGGATCTTCCAAGAGAAGACTTTGCCAAATTCTGATCTTGAGCACTGGTGTGTCAGTGGGATCTTTACTCCAACTCACAGACCAACTGTGATCCACTTAATGTTTTTATGGAGAAAGAAGTCCTAGAATGGGCCTTCTAGAATGTTCCAGTGATCTAGAATCTACCAGACAATAGGCAAGATGCCTGGAAGCCTCTCTTCCCTCTGAGAGGATACATAGGTGCAAGGATCAATTTTCATAGGCTAAATTGAGAGCAATAAACAAATGATTTCCTATCAATATATTTGTCAATGTACCAAATTGCTATAACCCCTAGAAATACAGAAAGTTTAGATGATTAAGTTTCCTATATTTGAAATGAAGATGTTACCAATTCAAAGATGAAAACAAATATATAGATTTATGTTATTATTATATTATAGTCCAGTGCTAAAAATTGTATTAAGTATCAAAATATCATCTCCCTTTTCATAAATACTAAATATATCTGGCCTCCACATTCTCACCTACTTCCTACAGTGATAATACAGGGAAATTTGTTTTAGAAACAATAAAAGCCCTCATAGCCTAAAACAAAAGCAGTTTTGAATTTCTTAGTCATGAAAGGTAGAGAATGAGGCTATATCTAAAAATACCATGCTTTGTGTAAATTAAACCAGCCAGTATATGGTAACATTGTCTTTGGGTCAGAACACACACACACACACACACACACACACACACACACACACACATTGCCTTTGTTTCTGAGAAAAGAAATGATATCAAATAATCATTAATCAACTAAAGAAGTGATTCTTAGCCTGTTGCTTAGAGATAAGGATCTTTGAATACTTTTGTGAATCTGATGAAAGCTACCGACCCTTTCTCCAGAAAAATGAGTGCATATATGGATAGTCACAAAAATGTTTCTATGCAATTTCAAGGGTCTATGGATCTTTAAAAGCGATTCATGAAAAACTTGTGAATGGACCCTTATGAAACTCCATCCCAAATTAAGCACATTGATATAGCTATAAAGAACATCAGTTTGAAGCTCACTGGGGCCTGTGAGGCAAGTTCTAGAATGGGTTTTCAAACAAAACTCTATGTCCAAGGGAACTATACCATGCTATTGCTGGCCAGTTATACTGACTGGCTCAAATTCCAGAATAAACACTATCTGTAGGGTATCACCCTCCCTCCATTCTCTCTCTCTTGTTTTTCCTTATTTCTTCTGTTCACACTTTTGTCTCCAAGTTACATTTTGGACATAGGATATTAAAAATACTTTAGAGAAAGTCACAAATGTAAGAACTAAAATCTGTAGTGTATGACTTCATCAGTAAAGAAAAGGCTTTTTAAAATACCATGAACAGTACTTTTTCTATTAATGACAAAAGAAAACATTTTTAATTCTGGAATCCATTGTATGTTCAGCTGAATTCACATGGCACATTTCTATTTTATGTATGCCCATAACAAAATTAATATAAATTCCTTTGAAGATAATCACAAATTTATACCTTGCTCAGCAGACCTACTAGCCATTCACACACAAAAAAATAGTTGTTTAGATTTACAGTTTTAAAAAATATGACATGTATTATTCAGGAAGGTTTTTTCATTTTATCTAGAGCCCTCAGGGACTTGTGTGTGTGTGTACACGTTTCCTGTGCCTTTGGGGAAAAATAGGTTAATTCTTTAGTTGATTGCAATAATTTTCATTTTCTACCATAACCAAAGACTTCCAGCACTTCTCAGAGATTTCCATTAGAATTTAATTTTAGAGCAATGTGGAGACGCTTAAGCAGGAAGAGGTTTTGCCACACTCTTTTGCTTTTGCAGTGTTTGAACTAGAAGCATAGCCTTCAAAACTGTGGGCTTGGGCAATGGGTTTAAGAGCTACATTCTACAATGTTCCAGGTTGACCTACCACTTTCAAATTACAAACCCCACCCCAATTATTGTTCTTTGCTGAAGACAGCCTCTTGGACTTGGGTCACATTTTGTTCTGACTGCTATGTACTTTAGCTTGGGCTCCCAATAAGGTGGAAAGTGTCAAAATTGGCTTCAACAAAGACTGGGTTGGGATTTGGAAGGAAGAAAAAGTGGCAGGAACAGGAGAATGTCTTCAAATTGCAAAAAGATCCTCTCTCTCTCTCTCTCTCTCTCTCTGCTGACATGAGATAATAATCTATGATCAGTTCAGGCACTTGTGAAAATATTCAATGTTGTAGTGAAATGCCTGGATAACATGAGAGTTTTGATCAAAGTAAATTAACACTTTGGTTTCATGTCAACATCACCATATATGATCTAAAATGCCTATGGGCCTAAAAAATACTTTATTTGCTGTTGGACAATGGTTAATATTTATATGGAGATGGAACATAGAAGGTTGACCTTAGGTAGATCATAATGACCTAGGCCACAGATGTGATTATTACAGTAGAGGCCACTTAGAAAGGAGGGTTCAAACTTTATGTGAGAGATGACTACCCAAAGATCTTAATGCATTCAAGACTGAGTCTATTAAGGGTGGGTGGGCATTTCTGTCAATTCCCTGAAGTTGTAGAGCAATAAACATGAATATAATTAATTTATTGGCCTTGCCAGCTGGGGGATTATGGGATTCTTGATGGTTTAGAAGTTTGTGTGGAGAATTCACATGCTTTGAAACTATGCATATGGTAAGACTTTACCAGTATATTTTATATTTCACAATTTTTAATTTGCATAATTAAGATTTGCTTAAGATTATAAAACTTTGAACATATCCCCTTCATCCAACTTCCCATTT